TACCCTAAAAAACCTCCTCTAATTTTGGCCCTATAAAAATCTGTAAGATGCTGGGGGGGGGAACCAAACCCATCACCCCACCAGCCATCTCCACAGGTGCGAGCCCCCCTCTGGCCCCCAGGCCTTCTGGCCAAGCCAGGATTTAATACCTTTCCTGAAGGCCATGAGGGAGGGGGCGCACCGGACCTCAGGAGGCAGGATGTTCCATAGGGCGGGTGCCAAAGCAGAAATTTACAGTTCTGGATGTCAAATTACACCAAACCAGACTTTTGGTGTACCTATGCAGTACGGTCTATTACCAAGGTTCCAACATGGTGCCTCAAAACACCAGTTGTTTCTTGATACCTGCCAGGCGCCCTACCCCATGTAATTTTTTTGTTTTCAAAAACATCATTTCAATTATAACAAAATAGGACGTTAGCAGAACGCAAAACAAACTGTCTATCTTCAACATCACGTTTTCCCCCCAAATTGCCTATGGGCCCTATCAGTGTGATGGCTGACTGCAACCTAATATTTTGTTCAGAATTAGGGGCACCTGTCTAAAAAATCAGCAGTGGGCAAAGAAGATTTAAGTCATCTTCTATAAACTGATTATATCCATTGTGGCAGCTGTTGTACAAATGGGGACACCATTCTTCCAGCAGTTACTCTTGAGAAGTGCCCACAACGTGATTTCAAAATTCCAGACGTAATTTATTTACACAATTTATCCACCATCTCAATCCTAGGGGACTGTAGATGGTTTACAGGTATTATAATATCTGTAATAAATCACACATTATTCTAAATTGTTAAAACTTCAATAACAGATATGTAATAAATATGTTGGCAGCTGTGACACCAGAGTCAGGACAAAAGAACGTAGATCACAAGTTGCGGATCTTCCATTATCCTAGATGAAGGTTTCTCCCAATGCTAGGAAGAGATAGTTTTTGAAATAGTTATGGAAGAAATGTGGCCTTTTTGCATTCAGCCAATGTTCTGCCAAGGCATGGTGTCTCCATCGCTTCCCCAGGGCCTGCTTCCTCTCTACTACAACTCTGCTTTCATAATGAAGCTTGAAAGCAATTGTAATAGCAGCTGGGCAAAACCAAGGAAATGTAAGACAGGTAAGGCATCTCTTCATTCATCCAGTAGTTCTGCAAAGCTTCCCTCTGTCATATTTCTTGCTTAAAAGGATAATACATAGAGTGGTTAAAATGACACCACTTCAATGGCAAGTGACAGCCCGGATTACTCTCTCCCCTTGCACACACCTCATTGTGGAATCACAGAGACTTCAGCGTGAATAACAGATGTTATTTATACATGGATACATAATGTGAAGAGTAATGAAGTTCCTGTTTCAGGCAACTCGAAGCTGCAACTTGCTTGGCATATTGACCTTGGCAGCGCCATGGTTCAGGAGCCTAGGACAGAAGCCGTTCGTTGTGTGTGAAGACGAACAAACCGAATTTGCCCAGGGCAGCTTATAATTCTTTCCAGTGCCATACATGAAAATCACAAGCGAAGACATTTCCCATCAAGGCAGGCCAAAAGGATCTAAGGTGCTGCTCTCAGGCTGATGAAGGAAGGATCAAGCTAGGAGCTCTCTTGTTCAAGGCCATAACTGGACTTGTGAAAATTGGGACTGCTCTGCCTAAGAGCCCTGGCCATTAGTCAGTGGCCCAAATCCTTGGCCAACTGACCTAACTGCTTCGGGGAGCAAGCCAGCGTAGCAATTTCATAGCCTCCCACAGTTCGACATCTGAGTCAGCGGTTCGCCCAGCTGCCAATGGGGTGGCGGAAACGCAGCAACCAGCTTCTTCCCTCGCTGCATTTGCCTCTCACTGGCCCTAGTCCGGGAGTGGCAAAGCTGCCCCTTGGAGCAACTGGGGTGGGGAAATAAATGCAGGTGGAGGTGCTGAGGTGCCAGAGCATCTTATCTATGGGGTGGGGGGGAGGATCCCAGGAGTCAGGTTGATGGGAGGGCCTGCTTGCCCCGCAGCTCCAGAAGAAGCCCTGCAAAACTCCCTTTGCAAGGTTTCATCTTAAGCAGGAGCTAAACTGAAACTTAATCAGCTTAGCTTTTTAAGCCCCAGGATGTCACGGGGAGGTATATGGAAGCAGGCCCAGATAAAGACCTCTCAGAAGACTCCCACCCAAATTCTGGAGACCTCAGGGTCTGTTTCTCCATCCCTTCCCTTCCCTTTGGTGTGGAAACAGATAACCTGGCGGGCCTCTCCAGGTGACTCAAACCCTCCCTGCGCATGATTGTCAGAGAGGAACGTATCTTTAGCCCAAACCTCTGCTTTTCTGGCAAGACATCTGCAGCTTGCTTGCTCGCCGGCTTTCTTTTCAGCGAAACCACTTTTCTAAATTGCCACTTTTGAGAAGGAGAAGGAAGGAAGCTGGTCCAGACGGGAGCAGGGCGACAGGTTCCCCCTGTCCCCGTCCCTTTTCCTTTCTCACCTCACAATTACCTGACGCCGGGCTGGGCCCTGTCCCGTGCAATTTTGAAGGTGCTTCGGTTGAGGCGTGGCGTGGTGTGGCGGAGGAGCAGCAAAAAGCCGCTGGGGATCTGGAAGGAAAATGGAGGATGTGGGGGAGACTGGGAGGCCCAGACAAAAGAGCCTTTATCTGCAAAGGTGCTGGAGTGGGAAAACAGGGAAAGGGGTGGAGGAGTTAGATTGACAAGACACACTGCTTTCCTAGGACAACAGAGAGATGGGCAAAAGCTTCCCATTTTTATTTACAACATTTCTACCCTGGTTGGGATTCTGTGAATCTCCAGGCCATAATAAAACGGGTTTGTACCATGAACTATGAAACAGAACAAAACAGTTAAATGTTTAAATATATTAAAAAGGAGAAAACTTTTGGAAAACCCACCAACCACAAGTAGAGGGCCGCCATGGTGAGCTATCCAGCGCCGAGAGTAAATAAAATGTCAGAAATAAAGTTGGCACATGCATTGCAAGAGACAAGCCATCTTACAAAATTATGATTTGTGTATCGAGGGGGCCCCCCTGTTGTTTGAACCAACCCCCTCGCAGGAGCAAGGGGAAACCACAGGAAGACCATCTTAACCTTCGGCTATCAGATGATGTGGATCTTGTAGCATGTAAAAAAGGGGTGGGGCTTCAGCTTGTGGCCGCCATCTTGACTTTTTTGACTCCCCCTCTTTTGCAGACACCCCTGGTTCAGCTGTCACTGAAGGATTCTACACAATGGCTTCCCACTCAAAAATATAAACATCGTTTCATCTTTCCTGGGATTATTGCCTTGTTAGAGTTCACCAGTACCTCCCCGAGAACTCAATGGATCTTGTGCCAAAACGTCAAAATCGAGTGAGATTTCATCTCGCATGAAAAATCTCGTAGGATCTGACAATCACACAGTACTGAGGACATTCTTAAAGGGGGGGGAAGAATGTCATGGAAGAGGGGACACAGATGCCCCAACCCAAAAGGGAAATGTGGTACCAGCCCCTGACTCATGGCTTGTTTAACAATAACGTACTGACTAAGCCCCAATTAGCCAATACACAATGTTCTAAGTCAAAACCACATTATAGTTTAGTGCAGAAATCCTGAGTCGTTCAGGGTCACTGGACACATTTGGCATTTTGAGAGCATGTTATGAGCATTCCCCCACAAGGGTCACTGAAAAACTCATAGACCAGAAGGCAGACAAAGCATAGCACACACCACTTAATTTTCTAAAAATACGATGCCCAGATACTTTTGAAAAATACCAGTCATGCACAAGACAAGCTTTGCTTTGTCGCTTGCTACTTTCGCATCCATTGTTTTGAGAGGAGGAGGAGGAGGAGGAGGAGGAGGAGGAAGAAAAATTAGGCACACTAGAAAGTTTCTGCTCTGTGGATCACTTTCTGTTTCCCTTCCAAAAAGCAGAAACGAAAAAGGAGCTCGGGATCTTTCAACACACCGTCCCAAACCTGCTGCCTCTTCCATATTTGCTGACAATTACGGCCAGAAGCTGAAGACCCAACCCATCTGGAAGGCACCAGATTTGGGAAGGCTGATTCAATATACAACAAATTTAATTTCACAGTGAACTTAAATTACAACATCCAAATCTAGCTTGGTTATCCATATTTTTCAAT